TTGTCACCAAAATGACAGGGTTTTGGCCCAACATTGTGTCTGAAACATGTATTTGAGCAAGTACAGGTGCTTTCCTACCAGATCTCAAAAGTAATACATCTTGCAGATGCTCTTTTAGACCTAAAACAAATAACATGAAAACAATTTAAGCTTTCATGTCTTTATGGTTTAACTCTAGTTATTGTAGAGGACAGTTGAAAATAATATCCTGGGCACCCTGAAGACTTAGAAACTAGCAAACAAATAGAAGAAGTACAGACCTATTAATATGACTGTTCTTGTTTCTGCTGGTGCTGTATCTGTTGTTATGTAAGGAGGGGAGAAAAAAGTTCACTTTTTTCAGTCTATCTTGTTGTTTTTTAGTCTGATCTCAGAATATTTGAATATTGCCTGACCAAAGTACACATCAGTTCCTCCTGCTTTACACTTCAACCAGCAATGTTTTTTCCAGCTTATCTGTATTTTTCTCTCAGTATAACAGTCCTCCTTTTTATTATGGTGCCAATTTATGAACCCTGAGGAAGTTCAAAGCCATCTTAAGTGGCAAAACCTCAAAGACAAAGACAGTTCAAAAAAATTTCCAAAATTTTCTGCTCTTTGTCACACAAGGGTCCATTTTTCAGGACCATATGGTGACAAACTGTGTATCTTCCACCCAGCATTGCTCTCACACTATGCAGACCAAAATAATTTGGTGATAAGTGAAACACAAAGTCTTGCAGAGTAAATCCATTAATCTCAGGGTTCTTTTCTTCACTCAAAGCTTCAATTATGTTCATGGCTATTTTGCCTTAAGCAAGACTGGCTCCCACATGCTCCTGCTCTTGGACCAGCAGAACATTTCTTAAAACAGCCCAAGACTAACCCACAGACCTTCAGCTGAGGAACTGTTGAGGGATGCCTCTGCCAGGGAGAAGGCAGAGATGCAAAGAGATTTATGAAGCAGGTAAGGACAAAAAATGTAAAAATGTCAGGAAGCAACAAAAAAGACAAGATTTTAGACTTCTCTTTTTTTCTTTTTTTTTTTTCTTTTTTTTTTTTTTTAATGTTTAATGTTCTCTTTACATCTGAAGCTGGTTCCTGGTATATCTAGTTTAAAAAATAAAAGTCAAAGTATGAAGGCTGTTTGAGCATTTACATAATACAAGTTCTGATGAGACTCTGTAATATAATGAGATCATTTATTGACAGCCCAGGGAGCAGAGGAACCCCCGTGCCTTAAAAAGGGCCAAGAATCCCAGCAGCTCCTGCCAGCTATGACCAACTTGAAAAAAGTTCCTCCCACACCCAGTCCCAAGATGGACCATGGGTACCCATGGGTATCTAACCAGGACACACCACTGAGCTCCTCAAACACAAGGATTTCTGTATCCTCCTTCCATAAGTGTACACACGTCCTGTCACTAGTGCTGCACCCTGGGATGTGTCTGGAGGATCCACTCCACTCCTCTCTCACAGAAGTTCTGGGAATTCCCTGAACTGAAGCCTTTGAAAAGTACTGTTGATAGAAGGAAGAGATTTATTCACTTCATCTTTCTAAACACATACTCACAGCAGATTTGAATTTAGCACGTGTGCAGAAACTTTCTGCAATTTTTGGAGCCAAAGCAGAATCAAAAAATACTTTTGTGACCTAAGGAGAAAAAAAAGCAAATATGAGTCAACAAACAGTATAAGAAACAAAGATGGATGCTAACTTGTGGATGACTTGCCTGGTTAGTCAACAGCTACAACAAAAGTGATAATCCAAGGAAGCACTGGAGGATATGTAGGGGCAGCAGAAAGTGCTTAGGAGCCGATACACTGTATGGACAGCCCACACTTGTGTACCACAGGGCACTGAAAAACTTCCTTTTCATAGTCACAGAGGTTGCAACCTGGACTTCATTAATGGCTAAAAACGTAAGAGGCCATGCAATGACTCAGAAGCTCCAAAACAGTGTTGGGACCCAAAGGGAGCTGGCACATCAATAAAGCACAGGTACATTTTGGTGGACCTTCTAAAGTTACCTATTTAAACCAGAAGGGGTTTTTGTTGTGGGTTGGTTTAGTTGATGGTGGTTTGTTGGGTTTTTTTGTGGAATCTGCAATGAGGAGACAGAAGCAGTGAAAATTTATTGCAAGTGAAAAGTAATCCATCTTTCTTTTAGCCTCTTCTGAGTACTAACCCTTCAGCTGTTCTATGATTTAGACTCACAGATTTCATTTCCTACGTCCCAGACATCAGAGAAAGGCAACAAGGTGAGACGGATAGACTCAAATAACTCCTAGAAATGAAACAGCTTCTGAAGCAGAGGTGCAGAAGTAAAACAAAATGTACTTTTGCTTCAGGGTATTCTCGATACTAGTTTTTTTCTTTTCATTGTGGTCCCTCATTTCCCCACCCAGACAAAATGCAGCCATGACAACATGGAAATCCCCTGAGCAGCACAGCTCTGATAATAAGATTATTCATGTTCAACAAAAATATTATGTCTGAAGAGACTTTTTCTTTTAGTTTGCTCCAACTGAAACAGGAAAAAAGAAAAAAAAAAAAAGATCAAAGTGATAGCCCACTCAATTATAAACAAGACAAATTTAAAGTGAGAAGGTGTCATTTCTGGATAGTGACCAATTTTCACAGGAGAGCCTTTCTTTAATGAAATTTCTGACTGAAAATTAGGTAGAAATTACATTGAGGGATTTTAGAATAATATGACAAGGAAGATTATTAAGAAAAGGGTTGAAATTCTCAACTAGTCTTTTCTAAAGCAAGCAAGGGGTAAGCCTTAGTTGTGAGAAATTACCAGGACTCAAAATCTCACTAATTCAAGTTTGGCTGCAATGTACTTTGGTCAAGCACAGAAAACTTGAGCATGAGAGATGAGTACAAGTGACTGCTGAAGTTCTCGAGCTGACTCAGAGAGAGGGAATTTCTTGAAGGGATACCCTGTGAATTTAGCCGTGGCACAAACTGTTCTGTAAAAGGAATCAAGCTCTCGAGTGAGAGTCAGTCAGCCCATGGTGGTGCCACCTCCAGTGGCTCCATGGCCCTTCACCATGTCCAGCTCCTGCTTTGTGTGGCTGGCCAGACAGGTCCCTCTCCTGTTGGTGAGTAGGAGATATGAATCTGCTGAGCAGAAATCTAGCCTGCCTCACCCAGGGCACTCTCTTCAGTGGAGGAAAAAAGTGCATTTTAGGTGTTTAGATTTCATCTTTTTAATGTCTGTGTTAGGACAAGGCAAATTGTGCTCTGCCCTGGCCAGACAGAAGTGACACAAGGAGAGTCCTGACACAGTAATACACACAGTAAATGCCCATGTCTGGCCAAAGAGACCCACTCTTCTCTGCCTGCCTGGGCTTAGTGCACCTGCAGGGAGTGCTTGGGTGGGGAGCCCCAGGGAGGCTCCATAAGGCAGGACTTGATACAGATTTTGGAGATCTTCCAGTCAGCCTCCCTGAGCTCTTGTGGAAAGGGGACCATTTCTTCCTATTAAAACTGGGCAGGGAAGTCCAGAAAGAGTGCCTTGGCTACCTAGTGCCCCTTGTCTATAGCAGCAAGAGACACTGCAGAACAGTCTCTGATGTCCTGGAAAGAAGGAAATTTTTCTAGCTATGAGACCTGAGTTTTCTCCACTTTGGTGAGCATTTTCAATTATTTCCCTGCAAACAAAAATACTGATGTGGCTTCCATATTAAGCCTCCTTATTATACTGTCATTATTTTTCTGTTTGCTTTGCCCTCAGCTTCCTTTACCCCTCCAACCTGAAGCTTTTTTCGGTGCAGCCAGGGTTGTGCCAGAGCTTGCTCCTCTGTTTCAGGCCCTCAGCTCACCTGTAGTTAGCCACATCAGTCAGCCCTGTGCCCAGCCCTGCTTTACACTCCAGTGTGCGTCGGTGTGTTCAGCCACAGGAAGGGTGCAAAGGAAATATCTAACACCTCTTTGTCTTTTACTTTCCACCTTTGCTTTGTCCAAAACCTGAAAAAAATGTGAGATGTGCCACATTGCTCTCAGGAGCCAGGTTTTGCAGGATTAGTCTTTCAAATCACAGGTTTTCTTGGGTCAGGATTGTCTTATGTAGACTTCATAGAATCACAGAAGGTTTGGGGTTGAAAGGGAGCTTTGAAATTTCCTTGTTCCAACACCTCTGCCATGTAAAGAGACACCTTCCACTAGACCACATTACTGAAAGCTGGCCTTGAACACTTCCAGTGATGGGGCAGATACAGCTTCTCTGAGCAGCCTGTGTCAGAGCCTCACAACCCTCAGAAGAATTTCTTCTGTATGCCCAATCTATATCTGCCCTGTTCTATTTTAAAAACATTGCCCCTTGTCCTGTCACTACAGGCCATGGTAAATAATTTCTCCCCTTCTTTCTTATAAGCATCCTTTACTTACTGAAAGGCTATGATAAAATCTCCCCAGAGCTTTCTCTTCTGTGGGATGAACAACTCCAACTCTCCCAGCCTGTCTGTGCAGGAGGTGTGTTCCAGCCTTCTCCTTATCTTACTGGCTTCCTCTGGACTTGATTCAACATGTGTCCTTCTTATGCTGGGGCTGAATGGAGTGCTCCAGCTAGGGTCTCACAAGAGTAAAGAATCACCTGCTGGCAGTGCTGCTTTTGATCCTGGTAAAGAAAAAACAAAAGCAATCGTACCTAGTGTTTCATACCTGGAAGATTTTTATCCCTTGGACTTGTGCACCTCTTTTGGGAGCAACGTGGATGCCAAAACTAAACCATGCTCTTAGCACCAGCAGCACAAATCACCACAGCCGAGTCAGGAGCACTTTTCATGAAGTGTGCTCCCTTTCCCACTGGTCTTTACCGGGTTTGTCCAAATGAGCTGGCGGGCCTGATCCAGAAGGTGCTCAGTCCAGAAGCAGGAAGCTGCCTCACAGTAAAAGCTCAGCAGTTATCTTTACTTTGGCTTCCTGCCCGCTGCCACCAGCCCCGCTGTGCGTAGGCATGTTTACATTTCCCCTGGCTGGCGGGCTCGGGGTGCTCGGGGCTCCTATAAAGGAGTGGTTTCGCACTCAGCCCCACTGCACGCATGCAGCGTGCTCAGGATGACACAGCCCAGCACTGTACTGAGCATTTTTGCCATGTTCCTTCACACCACTTTTGGGGAAAGTGGTTGCACCTCAGCAGACGGTGATGGTGAGTCATTTCATCTTCATCTTTCCTCTCATGTATGATCTTGGAAAACCTCAGTTAAGAGCTCCAGAATGCAATTGTGTGATTAAATGTGTTTGTGTTTTAACTTCCAATCTCTCTTTAGTGCCAGTGCCCAAGGTGGAGCTGAGGGATAACTATTTAATTTAACCCCCAAATCTTCTGTCCTTTTAACATTTAAATTCACATGAAATAAGGGAGACCATAACAGTATGCCCAGGGCATGCAGTGCCAGACCTGTCAATCCTTGTTGTAGCTAGTGTTTGTGTAGGGACTTCTGCCTGGGAACAGGGATAACTTCACCTTTCTGCAGCCCATGGTCTCTCTGAGCTGCCATTAGAGAGGGGTGAGGGCTTCTTTTGCTCTTGCCAGTCTCCTCCAAATAAAATGTTTTGATGTAACTCAAACTTGGCCCAAACCATTCCACTTCAAAAGCCAAACTTCTATGTTTTCTTTAGGCAGTTCCAGCTACCTGGGATAAAATCCCAGTCTCTCTTGATGCAGCAACTCAGCCAGGGGGTTCTCACAGCACAGCACTAACAGCATTCATCCCTTACTCAGCAAACAATTATAAATTAACAATACTTTCAAATCAGCTTTATTGTAGACTTTTTGATCTCATTTTGAGAAGTGAAAATTATTTAGCAGTATCAAGATCAAAAACATTAAACAGAATATAAAAACATAGTAAAGGAGAAATAAAACCACTGTTTTGGGCTGGTATTCCTTTTCTTAATAGGGAGATGAAAAATTTGATTTAGAGATTCAGTCCCAGATCTGCTAAACTCTTATTTGTCTGCTTCCAAACAAGCAGCAATGACAAGCATTTGTGAGCTATGCCTGAAGGACATGGGCTATCACTCAGTTACTGGTAGGTTAGAGATTCATTGTTTGGGAACAAAGGAGTTTTCAGTTTTTAAGAGAAGGATGGTTGTATTCTTATGCTACCTCTGTTAGGGAATCTCATTTTTCCCTGGGTGTTATGTGTTTTAACACATGTATCTAGACAGTTGTACATACATATGTATGTACATGGACAGGATATGCATGCAAGGTGTTTTCATTAAAAAGAAAACAGGGATTGGCTCAGAACTGCATCTAACCACCCTGGGGTTTTTATTTGCCATTTATTCATACAATTGGCAGCTGTTTAGAGACAGCTCTGGAAAGTAACTATGGTGATGAAGGTTCAATGCTAGTGATTTATTGTTGGTGTCATTGAAATCTTCAGGGCTTCCCAAAATCAGTTATGATCAGACCTTTGCTTGTTTTGTCACTAACACAAGTAAATCATTATTTCCTTATACCTGAAGACAGATTCAGAAATCCCCACTAAGCAATTAGCAGCTTTTATGACCTCTTTATAAATCTCCTGTGTTTGGCCAACAAACTAGGCAATCCAGGGCAAAATCACCTATGACAGGTACCTGACTTTCAGTCTTCACCCCTCTGACTTGTCCTGCCTCCTTACAAAGTGCCAGTAGCCAGCTCAGGCATGAGGTTGCTCTTATGGGCAGATGAGGGAAGAGCTAATTGCAGCACTTGCCTCCATCTCCTCTTTTCTTCTGAACATCAGACTGCCCCACAGCTGCTGTCCCCCAGCCAGGAAGAAGTGGTGGAGATCCCCAAAAGGCCTCAGAGAGCTACAGGCAGAGCTAAGGAGGGGCAGGCAAGGGAGAGTGAAGGTGGCACAGGAGGCTCATGGGCAGGGCACCTTCAGTGGTCCTCCTACCCATTCTTGTAGGGTTTGTCCAATCCATATCTAACCTGTTGTGTCTAAAACAGGTTCTGCCTGAATCACATCAGTGCTAGAGGTCTCACATTACTCTGTCCATGGAGAGTCAGTGCTTAGCTGTGTCCTTAGTCAGTCCTGCTGTCGGTCCTGGTGGCTCTAGAGCATATGAAGCATGTCCTTACCCTCTGCTAACATCCTTCTCTTCCTAAAGGCTCCTGAGATTCCTTCTGTGGTTTGAACCATCCTGCTGGATGCTATCCAAACACAAGAGAGAACCACTTCTGTGAAGTACATGCCATGACTGTTTTACATGCCATGAGAGCAGTTTTTATCCCAGTTTAGAATTGCTCCTTACCAAGCCCTGCCTTGATTTCAGCAGAGTAAGGTTCATGCCTCTGCCTGGTCTGGGCTTCTCAAGGCAAACATTACAATAGTCTTGTAAATGTTTTATTGAGTGAAGAGTCCTTAGCAGCATGAGTCATGTCAGACTCATCAAAACCATTCACATAGCAAACACATTTGTGTGTGGTGGTTCTGAGGTTTAGGGCAGAAGTGAGGCTGAGACTACGTGCATACTTATGTCAGACAAAAAAATTAGTCAGCCCATGGAAAAACCGTAGCAGAAATAGCATTTCAAGTTGCTTACTTAACACTGTTCCTGAGGTTTAATCATAATGTATTCTATTGTTATTATATTGTCTCCATGAATAAGGAACCATATAATCACAATATAAAAATTCAGTGTCTAAGGGTAAAGTCAGCTTTCCTTCCAGTGTGGCACCAAAGCTGCACTACATTGGTTAAACCTTGAATGGCTGTTGGAGCTGCAAGACTGAATCTTTTCTTCTTTTCATTTTGCAACCAAACTGGTAGAGAATTAATTCAAATTTCTGTTACTTTTCAGCAAATCAGAAGTGAATTGTTGAAAGTTTTTTTATAAGCCATTTTATTAATAGGATGATTGTCAGGTTTTTGAGTTGAGGCAAAATCTGGTATATATCGTTTGCATGTACAGAGATAACCAAGTAGTCATATAGAAAAGCAGATTAGTCATTCTAATCTTGAAGTTTTAATAATGCCTTGAGTATAAAGCAAGTATCCTTGCAGTCGCAAGTAAAATCTTAAGAGAGGCTTAGAACATGACATATCTGTGCATGTCAGCCTTGGGTGTATATATCTGTATAAAATATGGTGGATTGTTTTGCATTTTAAACAGATTCATTTCGGCTTACTTGGTATCCCCCAGATTTTGAATACAGATACTTTTATGTACGCACTTTTACCCACAAATAGGCAACTGCATGTGGTACATATGTTTGTATAAGCATGTCTGAGCTTACGGCACAGGGCTGCACTGGACAAGACTGTCACCTCTGTGAAACTGCTGCAGCACTTGCTCCAGAGTTGAGCTGATCTCTGTGTCTCTGTCTTGAATGTAATGGTTAAATACAGCAGCTTTGTACAGGATCTGCTTTTTCTGCATCTCTCTCTGTCTTTGTCTGTGCCTGTGTATGTCTGTGTGTCTGTGTGTGTCTGTGTCTGTGTGTGTGTCTGTGTCTGTGTGCGTCTGTGTCTGTGTGTGTGTGTGTGTCTGTGTCTGTGTGTCTGTGTGTGTCTGTGTGTGTGTCTGTGTCTGTGTGTGTGTCTGTGTCTGTGTCTGTGTCTGTGTGTGTGTCTGTGTGTGTGTCTGTGTGTGTGTGTGTCTGTGTCTGTGCCTGTGCCTGTGCCTGTGCCTGTGTCTGTGTCTGTGTCTGTGTCTGTGTCTGTGTCTGTGTCTCTGTTTGTGCTGCACAGGTTCTCCCCTCAGAGGAGCAGCACTGGTAGAGGACACTGCATTTGTTGTCCTTCCAGCAGATCTGGGCTCCCTGAGTGTGCTGACAAGACCAGTAATAATTTTTTAGCACCAGTTACTCCTGGTGACAGATGGCCACTAAATATTAGTTCATGGGGGAGGGCAGAGATCTCCTTGTGGGTTCTGGATTAATGCAGCATCAGGTGGCCCCATCCCATCACATGTGCTGGTGGCAGCAGTCCCCTTCCTAGCCTCTGCCTGCACTGCTTTTGTGTGTTTCTCTGTATTTTTGATTGACTTCTGGACTTCTCTTACTCAAAATCTGACTGCAGATGCAAGAGTTGGCCATCATTTTTTCTGGGAGGGATTTTCCATTGGAAATTTTTCAACAGGCATTTCCCCACTCCGTTTGTGAGTCTGAGTCACTGATACCCCTCAGCAGATAGCAATAGGACCAGAAGGAACAGTTTTTGAACTGTCAGAGGAGAGATTTAGATTAGATGTTAAGGAGAAACTCTACACTTAGAGGGCAGTGAAGCTCTGGAACAAGCTGCCCCAAGAAGTTGTGGATGCCCCATCCCTGGAAGGATTCAAGGCCTGTTTGGATGGGCCCCTGAGCAAACTGGTCTAGTGGGTGTCATTCTTGCCCATGGCGGATGAAAATAAATGATCTTTAAGATCCCTTCCAACCCAAACCTTGGATTTTGTGATTCTTTTTCTCACTGTATCAGGTGCCCTACATGGCAAGGACCTGTCTAAGGAATGGGTAACAGAGGATTGAGCAGGGGATCAAGCATAATTCCTTGACTCAGGAAAGAGGTTTATGTATTGTGACAGATACCTTTAACCACAGGTGAAAAGACTCATAGGCACTCCTGCCCCTGGGACCCATGCAAGAGGTCATGACAATAACCCTTACCCCATCCACTTGGCTACAGTGGGTGACATTTTATGCAATGAGGCTGGCATTTTCTGCTGGAGAGGACTTCTCTCAGAAGCGTCATTTTTTACATCACTGGCCTCATGCCTGACAAGTGTAGGCAGAATTATGATTTAGAATTATGATTTTAGTCAAATCATGATTGTGTTATTAGTCATTGAAGCAAATTTGCAGGAAGCCATGCATTCTAGCAGAAAGTCTGAGATCTCCCTCCTGAGCCCAAATTCGTGACATTTCAGAAAGCTTTCCAGTACAATCAAAACGTGTCTATGCTGCCTCATGGCACCAAAATATCCTTACAAGTGGGTGGGCTTCACTGGCATGCAGTGAGAGTTACCTTGAAAGGTGCAAATGGGCTTTTACCTTCATTTTGGACAAGGTTTCTCTGCTTCTTACATAACAGGTAGGTTGATCCTCTTCCTTTCAGGCAGACAGATGAAGAAACAACCTCCTATGCAATGGAGCTGCAAATCAAACACACTGATGGGTTTACTTCAGTAACATCTTGTGAATATCTCCTTAGGGACTCTTGGGGATGATGAACCAGACAATTTTGACATTGATTGCTTCAGCCAGCTGGAAATTAAGAACTCCTTGAGCAGCCTGACCTGCAATTTCACCGAGCTGCCTCCTTACAACACTAACTACACCCTGTCTCTGTGGTAAGTGCTGTCAGTCTGTCCCTCGATAAATGCCTGGGAAGTGAAATGCTGAGAACTATTGAGTCACGTTGCCACATGCAGGGAAACAGGGGCAGCAAAGCTAGACAAAATCCGGCTTCAGAGTGTTTTGCCAAGTTTGAGTACTATATTCAGCAAAGAAGAAGAGTTTACTGAAGCAAAACATAATTCCCCAGTGCAAAAATGAAAGAGCTGGAAGGGTCTCTACAGGGGATTATAATGTCTCCAGTAGTTCTGATGTTGCCTCTGCTGCTCTGGAATGTTTGTAATATGGATGTAGCCCAGCATGAACTAGAGCTTTTTGTTTTAAATTAAATGGTATTTTAAAAAATATTTTTGAAGACACAAATCCTTGCCACAGAAAATTCTTTAGCAGAAGATTAATTGTCAACATCCAAGAACATGTGTTCATCTAGGTTAAGACAAAAACTCAGCTATTGTCTTTGCACACAGAACCATACAAGAAATACACTAGAACAAGCACACAAACCTCCATCAGTTAGCAAACACATCAGAGATCTCCACTTCCTATCATGGCCTTGAAACTCTTTCCACCCTTTTTTTTCACTGTTGCACCAAGCTGAAGATTAAATTTTGTTTCTTGAGCATACAGATCCTTTTCCTTTTTTCTGTTTTTCCTGAAACTGAAAGTTGTGTGGCAGCCAAAAAGAGAAGTGGATATTTTTTGTTAATCTTTATATGCAAGTCACTAATTATTTGCTTTTCTTTCTCATAGTTTATTAGAATTTTTCTATTTTCATGGGACTTATTATAAGTTTTGGCTGGAGTTTTATGGCAGTTCTCAAACATGGGAATGAAAGAAATGGAGAAAAAGTTCTAAAACCACCATGTGATTCCTTCATGGCCAGCTGACTCTTGACCCTCTATTTGCTTCCACCAAACTCAATAATAAATTTCTCTTTATCTTCAAAGAGCATTGAAACACATTGCCCTATATTTAAAAGCAGCAGTGGCAAGGTAATTTTTTAAAATGCAAATGTTTTAACACATACACCTCCAATTAAATAATTGTGCTTTTTTCTCAAGAGCTCCATGACACTTTATGTGATTCATGTCGCTCTACTATTGTGCTCAAGGACCACAAGAAAAAACACTATCAATCTCTCAAACTCCTTATTTGCATTACATTATTTCTTATTTCACATGGAGACTCACTTCAGTGAGATGAGTGAAATGAGCAAGCAGGATTCATATCCTAGAGTAAGTAGTCAAGTCATATTAACACAGAAGAAATTATTGTCGTGTCGCTTTGGCCAACAGTACCAAAGAAGATAACAATTACGCCTGCTCCAACATGAAGAAACAGGAAGATGTATACTTCTTACAGTTCATTGATATACTCTCGAACAGAGATATTTGCATGTATTCTGAGATGAAGAGAAGGGTCTGCAGGAGTCTGGTTGTAACTGACATTGGTGAGACACTTGATATTTTGGACATTTTTAAAGTTATAGGGGTTACTGGGGAGAAAACCAGTCCAGCACAAAGCCTAAGGGTCAATCTGGATGACATAAAAGCATAAAATATCATCTTAGCAGAGCATGTAGCCTGGATGGGGGTGTTATAAGAGTGTGGTGTTTCCTTTGCTCCAAAGCCAGACATGATTAACCTCCATTCCAAAAGCGTAGTTGAATTCAGGCTGCTTGTGACTTTGCCCAGACCCAGACATAGACTGAATCCCATCCATAGCCGAAGCAGCTGTTCCTGAGTGTGGATGGACTGCCAAGCAGGAACATTTTGTTCGTCTCTGACTAGGGATGATGCAGTTTAGGGGCTGGCCACCCCACAGATAGCATGAGCCCAGTAGCACAGGGAACACAAGGCTGCAAGATCTCATTTGACATAGTGGTGTATCCTGTACTCTGAACAAAGTGCATCCTGCACCAGTAACTGTGAGCAGGCTAAGACACACCAGGGACCTGCCTGAGCCAAGAAACAGGGGACTCAAGGGGAGGAAGGGATACACAGAATTTACTGTTCTTGGCAACAAGGGCAGCAGAGAAGCCTGTGTAGGACAGATCCTTCTCTCTTCTTCTCCGGTGTCACATTGCTTTGTCTCTGGCAGTAAGCACTGCAACATCCCTCTCTTGTGAAACATTTCTGCCACAGTCCAACAGTTTTGTAATAATTTTACATTAGCTCTTAGTTTACGGGCCAGCCTGGCAGTCCTTACTCTAAAAACTGTGGAAGATCTAAGTATCTGGGGGTTTTAGAAGGAGTGAGAACAGTTTATGGCTTTATGTGTTTTCCTGAGAGGAGAGAGGTGTGGGCTCTGTGTTGCTGTGAGAGCTGATGCCCTTATGCAAGACGAATTCAGGAAGCCTCAGTGCCACAGCCACAAATCCCTGCAGGTCTCAAGCACATCCAGCTCAGGGTCAGCTTGGGGAGAGAGCCCTGAGGGCCATATTTCAGGCTTGATATATTTGCATGGATGGTCTTTGGCACAGTCTCCTTCAGACCAGGTCAGATGTGGGTTCATAGCAAGGGTGTGGAGCCACAGCCCACTCTGGTCTATCAAACAGTGTCAGACTTTGTCCCTCTATCTGTCCCACTGCCCTGACAGACAGCCACTGCTGTACCTGAGCACAGATTGTTCCCCAGTGTCTCCTCCCAGGTGGGATTTGCTAGGGGACATCCATCTCAGAGCGCTGGCTAGAGGGACTGAATTTCAGGCCTTCAAGCTACCAGAGGGGTGGGCATGCTCAGGAACTGCTTTCAAGATTAAATGTCATATCCCTCACCAACATCTCCTCTGCTCATCAAACTACTTCTCCAGCAAGTCAAAACCAAGCACCTCTCAGCATCAGGATGTAAGGATGAGATGGGGCTCAGCACAATTGCCAAACTCAAGACAGCTTTGCCTCAAGATAGGTCACCATGCAGGGCTGTAGCTTTGACTTTTTTTGCATTTCAAATCCTGTTTATTTTCTAGTAACATTATTCTGCTCCTGTTATATCCTGGTTTGTTGTCATTTGCAGTTAAGCCCGAAGTACCTTTCGCCATAAACATCACATATGAAAAGGAGGCAAATGAATATCTTATTCGTTATTGTACACCACACTCAAGGAAGAAATACTTAAAGGACAAATTAATACACCAGGTAGCCTATCGGCAGAAAGAAGGTACTTGGGAGGTAAGTGGTGATGTAGGGTGTGCTTGCACTAATTTCCAAAATTAAACATTATCAAAATTACCCGTGCCATGTAAATATTATCAAATCTGCATTTCTGCAGCTCTCCACCTGAAAACTTGGAAAGGTGCAATATTTGGAATTTGGAAATTTCATCAGTTAAAAGAGGTTTTATTCATTTGGGTTTTGCAGTGGGAATAGAAGACATAACATGTCAAACCGTTCTATGTTTGCTCTTTGCTCTGGTGATTTTGCTGTTATTTTCTGTGTTCATCAGTCAATAAAATGTGTGACCTCTTTATTTATTTTGCAAGTTTCTTCACATTTCCTTTTCCATTGAATCTTCACAGGCTCCCGATGCATCCCTGCAGCTCTCCCACCCTCAGGCTGTGTGAGGCTGCAGCTGCCTGTGAGCTGAGTCTGACCGGGGAGAGCTGCAGGGGTCTCTGTGTCCCCTGTCACCAGGGCAGCCATGCAAAAGCTAGTCACGATGTTTGAAAGCATGGGCTACACCTGGGTTTTACAGAGGGAATACAGTGTTGTCCACAAAAATCAGATTTGTTACCTGGAGTACAATAAGCCTGTAATTACACACTCGAGAGAGACATTGATTGTTCCAGCTGCACAGGCCTGGGTGCTCAGTGGTATTCCACAAATTAAGCACACCAACTTCCAAAATCTATTTGTACATTTTACCACACAAACTAGTAAGTGTTCCTTGGCCACAAGTTACATAGTGCTCTTACTAATTACTGTTCCATCTTCTATCAGTTAATGAGTCTCTCACGTCTCATGCTAATTAGCCCGCGGGCTCAGTCTTCTGAGTTGGTGGTTCTCGTGACCCAGTGGGCCATGAGTCAGGAGTCGTGATCTGCTCCTGACAGAATTCCCTTCTACCCAGTTCAGAGCTGATTCAGCACAGTCACTGAACTGTCTTTATTAGTTTCTTCCTTATCTTAGAGGTTCTGCCAAATGTCCTCTATTATGATCCAAAAATTCTGTACTCTTTGTGCCCATTACCATTGTTACATCCTTCTTCCTAAGCTTTGTTAACCTCCCACCAGGTTCCACATCACTGAAGTGTGTCAAGACCCAAACCTTAACAAGGCAATTCTGCCCACAAGTAATTTGTTTTTCTAACACCTGGACATTGCTTAGAGCTTGCTTATTAACTGCTCTCCTTCACAGATTAAATCTCCCTCCTTGTTGATTTAGGCTTGAAAATATACAAAGATCAAACATCAAAGAACTTAAGGGAAAAATAAAATGGGTTCAGGTAGTGAAATGCATTGAAATGGAGAGTACCAGAGCTGCACTGCAGAATTTCAGCTTCTCCCCTGTAACTGCCCTCTCAGATATTGTCTTTTTATGCTCCAAAAACATATTTTTTCCATGTGTCCCCTCTGAGCCTTCTCAGGGAAGCATATATTTCCTACTGCAGTGTCAGCTGCCACAGAGCACTGTTAATACTTGTAGCTGTTTTCCAATAGGCTTTTATCTGGCGTATCTCTCCCTTCCCAATGCTATCTGGACTATGCTGCTGTTTAACTAGGTTGATACCCTGATAAGCACCTGTGTAATAGCTAGAGAGATGGAGTAAACAGCACAGTATTTCAGGGATGCACCTGATCTCACATATTTTGCCGAACTCGAGGATAATTCTCCTCTGCCTGCTGGAAAAATAACTGTATCTTTTATGTGTGTGTGTGTGTATGTGTGTGTGTGTCTTTAGACAAAAGAATCACCATATCTTCAGGTAAAATTGCTGGGGAAAAACCTTGAAAATGGAGCATCATATGAGGTGAAAGTACGTTCTCAGCCCAATGGAGATTATTTTAAGGGCACATGGAGTGAATGGAGCACTTCCCAGAGCTTCAGGACAGCAAGAGAGCAGCACTCTGCAGAAAGCTGTAAGGGCTGAAAACACTTTGTTCCTCCTGGAAGAAAGCAGAGCTGGGGGCCTGGGCTTGCTGGCCAGCTCAGCAGCAGCAGGGATGAGAGAATGGGGAGGGAAGAGCCCATGGCCACACCAAGGTCAGCCCTCAATGACACAGGCACTGCAATCCAAGGAGGTGACTCAGAGCAGCTGGGTTGCTCTGGTCTGGGGCTGACTGAAGATTTAAATTTCACTTAAGGGAAATAAGGTCAGAAGAAATGCTGCCATGAGAGCCTGAGGGTGTGGGTGCAGAGGGAGATGAAGGCTGACTTGCTGCTTGCTACTGGCTGGCTTGCCAGGAGAAGGAAGAGCTTGCACCAGGCATTTTGGGTAAGGAACAAAGAGTGTGAAACAGGACCCATTTCAGGACCCTGGGCTTGGGTGTGAACGTGGCACTTGAATCACAAATGCAACACAGGATAAAATCTCATCACTGCACATGAATAATCTTTCTGATCCTTGGGTCCCTTCAGTCCCCAGGGGCACACTGGCATTAGGGTGTTAGTCACCTCTGTGCTGCTGTGAGGACACAGCAAGTGCTGGTTTCAATGCATGGGAAGTGACAGCACACTTCAAGCTGCTTTAATCCAGTCTGTGAACCCAGCTTGAAGCTCAGCCAAGTGCTGATGCTCTGGCAGCCTATCATTTACCTCCTTCATGGAGGCAGGAGAAATGAGCCATTGCACAAGCCCAGTGATGGGGCAAGTGCAATGCTTGGTGTTAATTCCTAATTTATCATCTGAAAAGACCTCACTGTTATGGCGGCTTAACAGTGAGACATTTACATGCGTTGCCTGATGTTCTTTGTTTTCCTTTAGATAACAGTGTGGCCATGGTTATACTCTCCATCCTGGGATTCATGCTGTCCGTTGTTGTGATTGCACTGTTCATAGTTTTTTGGGAAAACAGGTAATCTCTTTGTATCAAAAAAGGTGTTGGGACCCAATCCTGCTCTGACGGTCTTATTGCTTTCCCTGTATGTGAAGTACTCTCTCTCTTTCTCTGGAACTCTGTACCAAGCTGATGGCAAGCAAAGAATAGAAATGAGCAATATAAGAGAGTGTTGGCAGGCAGAAGATGACCTGCCAGATTGGATCAGATTTCAGTCTTGAGCTCAAAACACTGGGACCTTTGGCAAGCTGTAGTTACCATCAAACAGACTCAGTGTCCCACTGGAGGCAAATCTGACTCACAAACTTCAAGCAAAATCCAGAAAAGAAAGAGACCTGTGGGTTTTAGTAAACTCCTAAGAAGTGTGGAAGCAGCATGCCAGGGTGATGACCTTTGTTCCTTTCACAGATTGAGTCAGCAAGGTGCTTGCTCTGCAGCACTTTCAGAAGCAGCAGGGCAGAGCCCTCTGCAACAGGGGCTTGATGGTGTCAGACACCAGCCTGGCCAAATCGTCTTCCAGCCAGCCATGAGGCTAGATCAGGCAGAACTGGGACTAGGAATACATTCATTACTCAAGCAGTCTTTGGTATGCATTAGGGTTTTTTCATATATCTCCTACACATAAGTAGATAGATAACTGTAAATATGTTTTTAATGACATGGCTCAGGAGAGCTGACAAACTTAAGAAAATGAACAGATATGCATATAATGATCAGGAGGGATAAAATCCCAGTTTAACTGTAGAAGATGAACTCCTTGCAAGACAGAAAGCCCAGGACTCCTCAATAACATTCAGAGCAGTCTGTCCATGATACCCAGCTCAAGAGAGTTAACTCTGTGTGAGCTGCTTTTTTTGACAACTCTTGGGCTGTGCTAACTCCAGACTAACACATGGGGATTACCTGGCAGTGTTGAACATGGGGATTACCTGGCCAATGTTAGTTGGCAAGAACTAAACAAGAACTGGCAAGCCATACCATGCCACAGAAAGTTTTAATAATTAAACATTTTAGGCACTGGAGTTATCTGCACTAGTGCTACTTTGTTCACAAGTATAGAGGTTGCTTGAGATTTCTCATTCTTGAGTTTTATTGTTGCTGGGAACCTGCAGTTCTTTAACTTTGCTACAAGTTTTGCTTATGTAAGACTGCAGCAAAAACAGGTGAGACTTTTTGATCCCAGATATTTCCATTTTAAAAAAATAAGAGGGTTTTATATGTGCACATATATACGGCCACACAGACACATAAATAAAATTAAATATATATTCATATACATGTATATGCAGTGTCATCACTTCAATGATTAAATATCAGTTGGACAACATACAGTAGATACATCATAGCTGAGAGTATCATGCAGCACAACATGGGAACCTTGCTAATCAAGGCAGTAAAAATGAGACCTGTGGAACAAAGCTATAGGACAGATGTCTGAAGGTCAAATTGCTGGCCAAGGAATGGGACAGCATGTCATTCTTTTAATTAATTGAACATGCAGAAGGAACTATCAGCAAATTTCCACTTTAACCACAGCATCTTCTTGCACTTGCAGGAAATAGTTTCACCACACAGAACCCTGTTAGTACAGCTAGATGAAAACAAGTAACAAACACATTGCCAGCATAATTTGCTGCATTCCCAGTACTTAGTGAAGTGTCTTCTTTTAATTGTGACAATTTGTGCATCCCAAAGAACAATGACTTTTTAAACAACAACCTTTACAATTCCTCTTCTCTTGTCTGGTTTATTCTGAGGTTTCTCTGTCTTTACTCTGGATAGCACCAGCCAGCCCTAAGGCTTTGTGAGAACTAGTACAAATGATGCAATATGAACCTCTGATACCTCAACACAGCCCTCTTATGCTGCTTTTTGCCTACTGTTGCTGTTTCAGGATCAAACCTGCTGTATGGCCAAACCTTCCTGACCATAAAAAAACACTGGAGCAACTATGCAAGAAGCCAAAAAACGTATGTTCTTCCACTTTAATTTCCACCTAAGTATAGATGCTTGGGGATAAAACTAACATCCATGAAAGACAGGATGTGTGTTTTCTGCATGAACTAGGACACTCCTTCAGAAGTTACTTCTACATTTCACTTAAGAGAGCTCACATTTGCTCCTGCAGATGTCAGTCAAGGGTATGGAAATAATACAAAATTGACTTAGCTCCTGAGGTTTGACTTGTGCAAAGTTAACTACAGAGGTCTTGGGAAGTAAATGTATGAAGAAAGGCTGAAGGAATTAAATTAGTTTATAGAAGAAAAGGAAGCCTGGGGTGTGGAATACTACTTACAACCTTCCAATACCTAAGGTGTATCTAGAGAGATGGGGAAAGTGCTCTCACTGCAAGGCTATGGAGTGAGAGGACCAGAGGCAACAAACATGTGTTGCTTCAGGGAAAAATTCTTCTACAAGGAAAGAATCTTTCTTGTGAAAATAATTAAACACTGTGTAGCCTCCCCAAAGACAAGGTAGGTTCTCCTTTGGGAATATGTTTAAGGCTTAGCTTGACTAGGGCTCTGACTAGTGCAGGTCCTGCTTCTGGCAGAAGGTTGGACTGCACAGCTCCTTTCCAACCAAGACACTTTGGTGGTTCTACCAAGCTAATCAGGGGGCTGGAGGGGATGTTTTGCAAACATCCCTGGTAGCCTGACATGGCCAACAGCATTGTTCATACATCATGCAGTATATGAACTGCTTTGCCAGTTAAAAGACAGATGGTCAAGTAAGTCATTAATGCTGTACACTCCAGGTACATTATTAGCATGTCCTTAATTTCATAGGATGCCTAGCACAGCTCTCTCAGCCTCTGTGCTCCCCAGTTCAGGGATTCCTAATGTGTTTGAGGAAGTCGTGGCAAATTTTTACTTCCCTTGGTGCTAAATTAGGAAGGTAAAACTAAAAGAAACCAGCTGGGTGGGCACACTCCTTCCTGTGAAATGGCAGGCATGCAATAAATGCGTGTCTCAGAAAAGGCTCTGAAACACTGTATAGAGCATAAAACACTCCAGAGTACTGCCCAGAGGAGGATGTAGGATAGAGGAAGTTAATAGGGAATGGGATTTCCAACCATGTGATAATTTATTCTGCGCTAACCTATTGTTCAACCTGCTCATCTTGGGTTACATCTAGAGTTAAAGAAATACTAAATACCCTTCTAAAATCACATAAATTATTAAAGTATCTTTTCTCTTAAGCTACCACCCACTGTCGACTAACTGTGCTGTTCCCTTTGCCACACAGAATTTTGATATAAGCTTTAACCCAGAGAGTTTTGGTTATGTTCATATCCATAAAGTGGACGGCCTTTGGGCAAAAGCTGAACTGGAAAATTTTCTGCAACCATCAACTGCTCCAAAGACAAGCCTCCCAGAAAAATTCAGGAGTGGATCAGACCTGAAGATGATCCCTGTGATGGCAGACAAAAACAACCTCAACCTGCCGGTGTCTGACAAAGGAGTCTGGCCAGCTGAAGCCCTGCACAGGCTCCTGGGCACCAGCCAGTTTGCAGTCACAGAGGGCAGCTGCAGCTCCAGCATATATGAGGTTTGCCACGGCAACAGGGTGCCCCTGCACAACGATGGTTTTGACCTTTCCTCCACTTGTCCCCTGGATCCTTCTGGCCAGCCCCATGCAGAGCCTGTAAATGATGACACCGTATCCCAGATGCTGCCAAACAGTGACATGAGATCAACAAACAATGAGGAAGCCTATGTCACAATGTCCAGCTTCTACAAAATTCAGTAAATCTCATAAGAATTACAGCATGCATTTTATTTTCTCTAACACAAGCAGGGTACTGAAGCTTTCTGGTTTTGTTTTCCTGTATCCTGGGAATTCCCACATCCCTCATGCCCTCTGCTCATGGTGCAATGCTATACCTGCCGGGAAGTGGGTTCTCCCACATTCCAGTCAGAAGTATCCTATCTCAGCATTCAGTATGCTGCTAGCAGTCTTCACTGCAGTAGAAACTAAATTTAATTCAACCTGATTTTGATCTTCAAATCTGATTAATCCAGAGCAGTGACAATGCAGTCCCAGCTGAGGATCACAACATATCTCATAGAAATTAATGAACTCTTTTGTTACCCTCTTGGTTACAGAGTTAAGCTCTTATTAATGCCTTAGCAAGAAATATGGCAATGAATTCCTTTTAAATAGAACCCAATCTTTTTTAAACACTGGTGGGTCAAGACTAATTCCTCCCCAGTAAGTCAAAAGACAGTAAAAAGACAAAAAGAGAGTAAATTATAGTTACTATCAAGTACTAGGTGCTTGGGGATTCAGGCACCACAAGAAGAGTAGGCAGAGTGCCCAGTAAAAATGTTACATGGGCCCACCTGTAATCAGATGTTTCCTGAGTTGGATTTAGGTTTTTGTTTGGGTTTTTTGTTTGTTGGGGTTTGGGGGTTTTTTTGAGACACAAATTAAAACAAAGAAAACCCTAAGTGCCAATACTTTTTGTGACTGGCAAAGATCTGCTCTTAAGCCAGCTATGGGATCCACAGGTACTTCTGCTAATACTTTTGAGGACTTCAAAATTTCATGTACCAACTATGCAAAGCAAAGTCCTTTCTCTTTGTAGAAGCTGAATTAGGTCTGTAAATTGCATGATGCTGTCCTTTTCTGCAGCTCTTATGCAATTATTAGTGCAGCATTCCAGAGTGCTTTCCATTCCAGAGGCTGGGCTGACCATGTTTGTTTACTAGCATTATTCCAAATGGCTGTGACTGCACACAAGTGCTATGAATTTGGACAGGCAATGTTCCCATGCAACATTTGACATAGGAAAATGGATGGAATGTCATGGATCCTGCCAGTGATCACAAGACCTAATTTGTTTCTTTTAAATAACTTACAATTTGCAGGAGATATTTTGTTTATTGTTTTTTTTGGTTTTTTGGGTTTTTTGGGGGTTTTTTTGCATTGTGACTTTTTTTCTTTGTAGTATTACATTTATTACTTTTTTTACATTATGGCTGAGCCACATCACAGTCCTCCTCGGATGCTGCACATTCTGGAGCACACGCTTGGAGATAAAGCTGCTACAGCCACATGGTTGCATGACAGCAAAACTGTGTGGCCATGGGACATCCAAGCTGGTTTCTTGCACTCTGGATTTGGGGTTCACCTCATTGTGCAGTGTCAGTTCCTCTAGCTCTTTGGAATTCTCCTTTACCTAGTTATATTCACATCCCCAGAGTCTAAGGGTGGAAAGAGTCCTCTCTTATCCTCAGAGGATGAGATGCTCAGATTCAATGGTCACAGAGATGTTGCAAAACCTCAGCTGCTTCCATCTGCCTCTGCTAAGACATCTTTGCACCAGGAGAGCAGCAGAATGAATCAGATCACTGAAAATCTCTTGTGGCCTTGTTTCAAGAATATATGAGAGTGGGGCTTGCATTATACTCAGTTGCTTGAATCAACTGCAAGAGACAGTACAAACCAAACAGCAATTCTGGACCACATCAAGCCAAAACCAGCCTTCCCAAGACAGCACTCCACCTCCTCCACCTCCACCCAGTGCCAGGGAAACTTTCGACTTGGGAGAACCTAACAGCTACTGTGTGCAAAGGGGCCTCAGATTTGGCTCAAGGCATTCCAATGACATTTTACAGAATGGTTTTTACTGCTGTTTACTGCCAAATGAAGCATTAATTGATGCAGAAGAAAAAGACCAAAGCCCTGGGCATTCATTTGCTTTATAGTGCTTGTATTCCCTTTCAAAAAAGAGCTGCTGATAATGCTTAGACTGTGAGAACTTGCACAGTGTGACTGTAGAGACAGACAGACTATACTGGAATGATACCTTCTTCCAGTGCCACAGTGACAAACAAAAAGGGGATAGAGGAAGAAGCAAAAGCACGTCAGGAAAATCCTCTGCAGTATGTGCTATGCTTCCTTCAATTTTTGTAATTTTGTATTTCTGTAACGTATTTGTTGGATGTATCCAGATATAACCACTTTCAGCTTTGTTTCAGGAAAAAAAATAAAGCCAAATATGCACCAAAGCCAGAAACACCACAAGCATTTCCTGTCTATGACCAAGTTATATATAGCCCATACATGAGGACACAGCCAAGGCGATGTCTGGGCAATCTGTCAAATAGTTTCCTTATTCTGCATGACAATTGCTCCAGAGATGTCCACAAATTCCCATCTGCCTCAATAATCACATAGGAGTTTTGCTCAGCTTTCACACACTCCATGCACTTCCTTTAGTTCAGCACAACTTTCCTTCTCCCCCTTCTGCCTCCAGTACCCTTACTCAGCTGCACACCCAGACCAGTTTCCTGACACTGGTTTCTCTGCTGCTGCTTTATGACACAGTGCCTGGAGCTGCCTGCTCCTTTCTGCCATGTGCCCACTGGGCTCCAGCCCCTCTCCTGCAGTCGTGGTGCCACACAGATGCCCTCCCATCTTTGTTTCTCCCCTTGTCTGTGTGTAGCTCGTGCAAAAGTCTCCTAGCACTATGAGCACTCCTCTCCTGCACGATGCAAATGCCTCTTAGCTGTACACAAATAAACAGACTATTGTCAGTTATAACAATGAGTCATGGTCTAATTCTAATGATGCTGAAAAATGCTAATTACATCTCAAGGAATTAGTCATTCCTGGCTTAAAGTGTTAGTTTGTTTACCACCTTTACCAGCTTGTTCCTCCCCTTGTGCACATTCCTCAGACAGGCTGAAAAAGCAAATGTTGTGTGTGTCAGTAGGGCAGCAGATGACCAGCTAAGTGTGGGGAGGCAGGAGGACTGCTTCTGTCAGGGTAGAGGGATGGCCAAATGCCTGTGATGTGCAGCAAAGTCTGGGCTATGAAGTAAATGTTGAAAGGGTGGCCTGACAAGCACTGCTGCAGGGACATGTGACTGAATCCAAGGCAAATTTTGGCAGGCAGAAGCTGACTATGGAACCATCTCTTCTGGCAGCAGGGGACATGGTGATGCTGGCAGGGTATTTTTGCAGGGCAGGAATACAGCCCCCTTCTCAGCTTCTTAGCAGTAGTGTTTATTGATTTGAAGGCCTATCTGGACAGCAATACAGCAGTGCTGCAGCCTGGGGCGAGAGCAGTTGGATTTTAGTCAATACACTTTCAAATCAAGCTAGTTATCTCTGTGGTTGTGGGATTTCTGAAATTATCATTTAAAAACAGATAAAATGCAATATAAAGAAGACTTACCACCTCTGTGAAGAATTATTGTAGAGTCAAACACCTCCTTATTACTGTGATCATGAAGCCACCCAAATTAGCACTCCTGTGTGTCACAGAGCATTGGCAAAACAAATCTAATGCACAGACACACAAGAAAACAACGGATAATGCCAGAAAATGCAATTGCTAAATTATACCGACTGTATCCTCCCTTGCTCACGCTGCAGCTCCAGGTTTCAGTCGGGATGGCTTTTCCTTGGCTTCTAAGCGCCACCTGCTGAAACACGAAGCCACATGTCAGAGCCCAGCACTTGGACACTTGCTGGTGCCATCACCATCGTGCAGCTCCAAAAGCGTTGTTCAGATGGGACCTGGGGTAAAAATCAAGCCCACAACAAACTAAGCAGTATTTCAGTTATTTGTAGTCTATGGTCCTAAAGAAGTTTGGGAAAATAAAAGCAAAATGAAGAGTTTCCAGGATTTCTTCATCCTTAAAATGATTTTGGCAGTAGTGTCCACAGAAGCACTAACTCCATAGCAGTAATTCAGAAATTCATCTTTCATAATCTAAAAAAAACAGTGTTTACAAGGGTGATGCTATATACTGTGGCTCAACAGACTCTTTATTTTGCAAATACTTCTTTTGCATCTTCCAGGGAAGTCTGATTTTTACATCAGATTCTCCTAACTTTGTATTAGGATGTATTGCTGTGGCAAGCTCCAACACAGAATTTAGCTGAATAACACATACAAACACACACACACACACACACATATACATATACATATATAAAAGAAATATTTTTTCTGGTTATTGTTAAATATTGACAGCATAACTTACATGTCACAGCAAAATTACATTAGTCCAACATCAGGACCATCACCGAATGAATATAAAAAGCCCCAAAGGTTTGTCAAACAACAGAAAAAAATGAGACACAAAGCAGAAATACATTGATGAAAATGTCAAAAGGAATAAATCTGTGGAAGGAAGAAAGACACAAAATTGGAGCTTCTCTAATACAGTCTGACAATTGTTTTTCCAGAAAATGTACATAAGATGAAAAAAACCACTTTACCTTTTGAAAGTTTAAAAAAAAAAAAAAAATGCATATTTTGGAAAAAATACCATGTTTTCAATGAAAAAAGGAACAGGTTTATCTCAGGAAAATAAACACTTCTCACATTTTACCACAATCTTTGTTTTTCCACAGAAAACCAGATTTGATTCAACTTCCACAAAACCTTGTGCTTCCTTTCTTTCCAAGATACTCAACAAAGGCTGGATCCTGGTCTCCAGCTGCTGCTGCTGTTGGGATCAGCAGCAGTTCTGTGAGCTGGAGGGAAAACTGGGTTCAGGTTTTTTTGTGGAGGTGGGACTGCTGTACTTGGGGTAGCTGCAAACCTCCAGGCATGAGCATGGAAGAGGTGCTAGAGCCAAAACCAGGCTTGCTTTGAAACTGCAGGGGTTTCAGACTCAGCCAAGGCACAGCATAATGGCCAGGGGCTGCTGCAAATAGAAAGGCAGCTTTCAGCCACCCAAGGACTTGTTGTTAATCACAGGTTACTGGGAATCCTGTTTTCTGCTCAGCCTACAAGAGAGGAAAGC